GGAGTTTAGGCAGATTTTTAGGGTCATGACTTCCTAGCTGAATTAGAAGTTCTTCTTCTGTTCTTCCATGGTGTTGGGGCCAGAGTTTTATTTTAGACCATTTATTACATTGTATTGTAATTTTTTGCTTACTCATCTGTCCACCTAGATTTTATAGGAGGCAGAGATCATGCCTTAATCCCCACTGCATCCGCTTGTGCCATCCATCCTGCCTACCAATGATTGCATATTGAGTGGATGAATAAAAGTAATTGTTTCTAGAACAACTTCTGGATCTTAAACATCCCTTAATGTTTTAATTTTACATTTCTCATTGACTTGTAGCGGTACTATAATGGTAAATGAGATAATTTCTCTAAATGCTTCATTAGACTAAGTCTCATATGCAGCTGTCAAATGAAACTATGAGCTAAAATTTATCATTTTCCTCTAGTTTCACCTGTCAAAGTTGTTGGCTGGAAAACTTTCCTCCACGGGGAATTTGAGCCAACTGGCAAAAATGTACACAGTTTTGCACAATGTCTGACAAATCGAAGGCACATAATAAAGCCTTGTGTAATGAGAGAATGAAAAGTTAATTACTTAATAATAAGAGCTATGTTGTATTGGCCACTACACTTTTAACAACACGCCTTTGAGAAAAGTAAACAAACAAACAAAAAACACCCATACTAAATCTTATATCTAAATCTGTTAGTTTTTTTTTTTTTTGCCATTGATGAAGTAGAAAGCATTTCTCTTCAATGATCATCATTGGTATATTAGTCAGCTTTTGCTGCAGTAACAAAAACCTCCCAAATTTCAGTGGCTTACAGAAACGATGACTTCTTATTGCCATTATGAGAGGGTTATGGGCTTGCTTTGGCTCTGCTGGGCATGCTGGGATTACTGAACTCAGGTAGGTTCTACTGGCTAGACAGGTCTTTGAATTCTTGGACAAAAGTCAACGAAACAGCCACTCCCTGGGACATGATCTCTCATGGCAGGGTTCCAGAGCTCAAGAAGGTGAGAGAACAAAGGCAAACTATGCAAGTTCCTTAAAGCTTCTGCTCCGATATGACATCTGTCATGTCCACTTGAATCCCATTGGCCAAAGGAAGTCACACGATCGAGCTCAGAGTCACTGCAGTGGGAAAATACAATTTGCCTATAGAAGTGTTGCCAGGGTGATAGGGAGCAAAAAATTGTGAGCCAATAATATAATCTACCACAATCTGAGTCCGATGTTTATCAAAGCCACTATTTCACCTTTTATAACATTAATTAGTCTTTAAAGCTTTTAATTTGGAGTTTAACTCATGTGGCCTAAATAAGAAAAGTGAGTATAAAGTCTTTAATAGGTTCTAGGTAAATAGGTCCCAGAGGTAAAAGTAAACAGATTTTGGAGTTTTAGCGAAAGAAAAAATTTTAATTTTTAAGTTTATAAATGTTTTCATGAGAATTATGATAGTAAGTTATTCTTTATATATGTGGATGTCCACACCAGCAGAAAAAGATTTAATTAAAGTAGAGATATTGGTGTCTAGTTTCCATAAAGAATGATTTGACTAGTCAAGTAAAAAAGACATGAAAGGGTCAAAGGTCTCCCTAGTGGATAATTAAATCATTCGTCTGCTTGAAGGAGGACGGTTTGACCAGATGACAGGTTTCTGCCAATTCTGTTTATAGTACTTTGAATTTTGAAATAAAGAAGTCCTTATAAGACAGATGGCATTAAGATTCTTCTTACATCAGTAAAATGTCACAAGAAACTTAGAAGCTGGCTTAATACAGAAAATGAAAACAGTAAGAGAAACAGATATGAGAGAAAACTATAACTCTAAGCATTCATTGTTTATTTGTGAGAGAATAAATTCCAACTTTAATATAGTCATTTGTTTTATTTGTATTTTCTTTCTACAAACATTTAATTAATGTATCAGGCATTGTGATAGGTGCTGGTTGGCTAAGAAATTATACAATATATAGTTAAAAGATCTGATAAATCAGCTCTAAATGTCACATATCACTATCACTTACCTCAGATTTTTTTGCTTATCACTTAAAAAAAATAGGATTTTAAAACTACATTTTATGATCTACGGTTATGAAAATCCAAATGCTAAAAGAACATACCACCTTTCAGGTGATCGTAAAAATACCATTTTTTCCAGGCATCTTCCTTCCTTCCTTCCTTCCTTCCTTCCTTCCTTCCTTCCTTCCTTCCTTCC